CTATGAAAGCCAGAAGGTAACAAGTGACACCTTTAAATTCCTAGGGAAATTGTCAACCTTCAATTCAGTATTGAGTGAAAATATATTTTCACAAATAAAGGTAAAATAAAGACTTTTCAGACAAAAAGAAATGAGAAACTTTGTATTCCTATAGAGGTACAGGCAGAAGATGCTGTACAGGTAAGATGCTACTCAAATATCTTACTCTGTAAAGGGTCTGTACAAATTTATGCCTATTTTTAACATCAAGTTTCTTGTGTTCTTAATATGGGGCTATAAGAATTCTTTACTATTCTGAATACAGTCCTTTGTTATATACATATTGTGCAGTAGTTATTTTCTCCCAATCCATGGTATGCTTTTCCAATTTCTTAATGGTGCATTTTTAAACAAAAATTTTTTTTTTATGATTTAAATTCTTGTATTCTATCTAAGAAATATTTAAGTTTATAACAGAAAGATTCTCTGTTCTATTTTGTTCTAGAAATTTTATAAATTTTGCCTTTACATTTAAGACTATGATACATTAAAGTTAATATTTGCTAAATTTTACTCCACAGAATTTCTTAGCTGAAATTGTGTGTGTGTGTAGTGAGAGAAAGAGAGAAGAAGTCATTAAATATAGAATCATTTGAAGATCTCTATATTAAAACCTTGTACTTTAATATTTAAATCTTTCTCAGAAAAAAAATTAATACATATTAATAGTATGTCAGTTTTTGCAAAAAGCTAATATCTGCCAGGATTCCAGTTCTACTACTTCCTATCTATAACCTCAGAATAGGTCCTATAAAGTCCAATTTATTCTTGTGTAAAACTGGGAAAAGAATTCATACTTTTCAATACTGTTGAATGAACAGAGATAGTATGTGTAGCATTAAGAAGTTCTAGATAGTATCTAATTTTCTTATTTAATCTTTATGTTTATTTAACCCTACTCCCTACCCATAGTAGATTAGAAGCAGCACATGAGAAAAAATATGCGGACAGAAAAAAAAATTCAAATAAGTTTTGTATAATGACATCATAAAAGAGGTAATGGTTATAAACAAAGCAGAATTAAATTGTCATATTTCATACATATCCCAAACTATCTTATATCATGCCTCATGCATGCAAAAAATGAAAATAAAGCAGAACATACTGAGCAAGTTACATTGCATTTCTTACCCTCTGCTTCATTAGATGTGGGATTTGTATAGTAATGCAGCAGAAGACTGACACTCTTGTTCCCACTAAAGTTATCAATGAGCAGTCAAGAAAATCAGAAGCAACCAGACAATCAACAATTCCACTGTGAACAAAATAAAGAAATTTAAGTACATGTACCCAGTTTAACTGTACCTCAGCTATTTACATCATGGATTGAGAAGCATATTTCTGTAGAAAACAACATATGCTCCAACATATGAGAAGAAAGAAATTGTAAATAAATAGCAGCAGGAGAAGTGAGAAAATAAGAAGAAAAAAGAGGAGAAGAAGTAGAGAAAAAAGGAAGAAAATTATCTGGGATGAAATGTTTTATGTATTTTTATATTTATTTAAAAAATAGTGTATATTCTTATAATCTATACCACAGAAAATAGCAGTATAAGCATGTCCTTTCTGGAGTTATACTATCACAGATAACATACCTGAAAAAAATTTCACAATGACAATGTTATAGTCTAACCATACTAATGAAAAGACAAAGATTGTCAAGGTG